TTTTTATAGGGCTTATAGGGTTTATGATTTAAAGTTGGTTGGGATTTCGGGGTTTGGGACACTCGGTTTATCATGGATTTTTCAGCTGAGGCCCTGACATGTGGGGTTCTGCGGGTTTTAGGCTCCGAGACTTGACTCGTAGCTTCAGGTTTCAGGTCCGGGTTCAGGGTTCATAGCTTCGGTGGACATGGGAGTTGATGTTTTCAGTACTTTGGCAGGCGGTGTGAGTATGATCACGAAGAGAGGCGCGATGTAGCTATGACAGCCTTTGGTGTCGTACAATACGGTCATCAGCCCGCAGGATAGTTAAATCACACGCACCCACACAGGAAACGTACCAGTTCGTAGTGCGAGCGCACATTCAGAACCACAGCAAAAAGAACTCAGATCCCGTAGATTCCGTAGATCCTACCTAGACTCACGGGTCTCTAGGTGGTTGGAGCGGTGGCCATCGGTGGCTGGCTGTGCGAGTCTGTGCCCGAGAGAATGTTCCTCAGGTTGGGATTTGCGGCTGCAAGGTTTCCTCCTGTGGACTCCGAACCCCGAACCTGCCGGCATTTTGAGTACCTTACATGGAGTGGCGTAAAGAGGAAGTCCTAAACTTCTAAAGCCGCTGGTTTGTTGGCACATCCTGCCCAAATCAAGGCCCCCTCCCAACCCTCATGACTTGCAACCAAAACGACAAGAACCCCAGCCCTCACCTCACCGCTCCCGGACGATCTCTTGTTTTAGCTCCATCTTCTGGCCTTCGGATTTCCGGGCTTGTGAAGGACAAATCCTGGGTGGCGCCTGCAAGCACAACACTTCCGAATATCTGCTGCCAGCCTGGCAGGAAGCGCATTGCAAAACATGCAACACTGCCTACCCTCACCACTGCCTGCGTCTGGCACTTTCGACTACCGCCAAGACAGACTCGCAACGAAAAGCGCATGCGCTGCTGCCTGTGCTTGCGTGTCACAAGCACCAATACTAGAGCCTTACAGAGAGCCCACTGCCTGCCACCAGAACAGCCTCTCAACAACAGGGCAGCTTCCCTGAAAACCCACATCCTGCCCAGACTATTTTCTGCGGTCCAGGCCTCACGAAAACCTCACTCACTCTCGGATTCACTGACGGTACTTGACCAACTTGGTGTTTTCTTGGTCGCTGATAGCTTCGATCCTACCTGGGCACCGTTCCAGGCAGCCACGTCGGCGATGCCCTGGCATCCGACCCCAGTAGGATGCCAAAAAAGACCCCGGCAACAAAACTCATCATGCTTGAGCTCCAGGGAGCATCCATGGCGAAACCATATCCTAAACCCTGAACCCCAAACATCCTAAGCCCTAAACCCTAGGAATCCAAAGCCCCCCAAACCCAGGCTCCTGATCGGACTGTCCCTCTGGCGGCTGCCCACAACTACTTCCACAGGCCAGCGACTTTTTTTTGGGGGGGGGACAGCCCAGGTGCAAAAGGGCTTGACTTGCTTATCTTGTTCTTGTCTTTTGTGTTTAGGCATACTTCGGAGTTCGGTTTCGGGATTTGGTATACATAAGGATTTCTCAGGCTTTCGGACTTAGGCTTCAGAGTTTTCAGGTCTTTAAGGGTTTAGGAATGAATAAGCGTTTCCACAGGAACCTACTGCAAATCTGTCTGGTGGACGCCTTAGGCCCGAACCCTATAGCACCTTCGACCCTGCACCTGGCAGCATCCTTTCACCGTGCACCCCGAACCCATGGGGCCCATAACTTTAAGATTTTGCAGTAGAGTTGCTTTTTCTGATGCCAGGACAGCGGCCCAGAAGCGGCAGTGCTGTACTGGCTGGCCGGGGGGCTGCAACATTCTGTGCCTCCTCTGCCTTTTTAAAGCCTCAGCCCTTTGTTCCCTAATGTCTCTCTCTCTCTCTCTCTGGATCTCAGGTGTGTTCTTATCTGCTATGCTGCTGGCAGACTCGGTGCCGGCGCTGGCGGGCATCCTCGCGAACTTGCCTATCGTGCGCGGCCCTGAGAGTGGCGGAGCCATCTATGCTTGTAGCCTTGATGGGTATTGAGTTAAGGCTTCCTGATGGGTTTAGTGGGGGGATTTTTTCCCCTTCGCAGCCTTGAGCTGTACGGATGCCAGGGGATACTTGATTCATCTCTTATGGCTTTACGTCTCCTTTGGATCATAAGACCAATGCGCACATGGTGCCGTAGTCCTGAACCTCGGCATGCTCACAAGGTTCTGAGCTTGAATCGTGGATTCAGGCTTGCGGCTCTGCTTGGGACCAAGGCCTTAAACCTCCTGTTTTTGACATCCGCTACTGCTAGGCAGAAGGAAGAAACGGCTCTTCGAAGATACTTTACGATGCTGACTGCGAACCATGACCGCCAGCTGGATGTGTGAGAACAGCACGAATGCACCCGGAGAGTCTAATTCGCAAGTACCAAAGACAACCTGGAATGCGGGTGCCGAACTCGCCGCACTGCCGGACACACAAATTCAGCAGCCTAAGGCCTGTTGTCAAAATGGGGCTTATGGGGCTTCCTTGCAGGATCGGGGCTTAACATCTGAACTTCATCAGAAAAGTGGGGATACGCCGCTAACAGCAAAAAGCCCTAAAGCCCTAAGACCTGCCACAGGGGTGTTTCGCTTTCTTTTTGCTCGCCGAAGGTGCTGTAAGCTTGTAGGAATCTAAACCCTAAGTCCGAGTTGCGAGAGTGTAAGCCCCTAAACCCTAAACCCGTCAGTTGGGTTTAGGGATCTTCGTGTTGGGTGTACGTGTACCGGCGGTTTTGGATCTTCGAGTCTGGGGCCTGGTCGTTCAACAACTTTTGATCTGTACAACATTCCGGGTTTTGTATAAGCCACAAAATGCAAAGCAGCAGGGGTAGCTTCCAGGGTGGAGTGTTCAGGGGGACAGGCTTTGATCAGCACTAAATTCACCACTAAATGCAGGCAAGCCCTGCATGGAACATGTTCGTTCTTTCTCTGGCATCCTCCAATCAATCTGTTTACGGTTTATGGTTGCGGGTTTTCAGGTCTGTGGCTGTCATCATGATCCTGTGGATGTCTCAAGGGGAGGTGCCAACCCTCGTGAGCGTGGGAGGGCTGGAGGGGGTTGCCGTGATTTTCAGGTCAGCAAGGGTTTGTTCTGGTTGAGGGGCCTGAGCTGTGACGGCCTGGAGTCAAAAGCCCTAAGTCTGGCAAGCGTCGCCTGAGGACTCCGATTTGTTACGCTCAACTTGCTAGCCTCAAAGCATGTACAATCCTTTCACTTTGGGCCAGGCTTGGATCTCCGCATTCCAATGCTTTAGCAAGGTTCCAATATGCCACAACTGTAGAGGATGCCATAGAAGGGCCGTTGCTTACAGTATCTAAGTCTAGTCGACTGCCACCGGAGTGCAGCAGCCGGTTCTCTAGTGAACCATGCTTTTTTGATGTCGCGTCGTGTTTTACGGCTTTGTCATTTCTGACGCGAATTTGAGTGGATCATAGGTACACGCTCCTGCTAGGATCAAGGTGCAGAGGGGTTGGTTGCAGGGCTTTTTGAGCAATACGGTCTGTCTAATTGCGGCTGACAACGAATGCCTTTATGTGCCGAGTTACTAGTTGTGTAGAACCATCAGTTTGGCAGCACACGCTAGGAACAAAAGGGCACCGATGCACGCAGATCACGTCTGGGCAGTTCTCTAAATTGGGGTCCCTTTCAGGGTCCTTTTTTATAAGGGTGCCGTACTATTTTGGGGACCTACATAGGGCACACATGGGGACCCTAATCTAGAGAACTATCCACATATACTTAAAGACAAACATGCACGTACGGGCACTTTTCGGCTTCGGGTCCCCCGGCCATTCGGATGATGAGCAATCACTCCCTGGCCTTAAGGCGACCAGCTTCGAGGCCTAGGGTACTCTTGGCATTACAGAGGCTGTAGATTTCTCAGATTCTGAGATGTTAAGGACCAGGGATTCTAGAGCAGAGGATTTCGGGTTCCGGGGAGAACTGGTGCTTGCGTTAGCTGCAACCGGGACTCCATCAAAGGGCTCAGGGTTCAAATATCCGCCGGCTTGATGGATATAGCAGTCAATCGTCCATCAACCACGAAATAAAACTTAAACTAAAGCCAGGATGTGGCCATGGCCTGCTTAGCGCCGATGGTGCTCGGCATGCTCTCGCCATCGGCCTATGCGATGCCCCTTTGCCTTAGGTCAAGAGTCTTTGCGGTGAGGGGGCCTTCAGTGCGGGCAGTTACAGCGGTTTGGGGGGAACTTCCGGTAAAAGGACGCCTTCCCGGGATTACCTCGGCCCTCAGCGTCCTCAAAGCTCAGGATTCGACTAGGCGGGATCAAAGCCGTTGGTTTCCACAGAGCTCCTCCTCCATATCCTGCTCTGAGCATTTGTGCAAACAAGGGGCCATGGAATCAAGGAGTTTTTGCAATACCCTGGGGAGCGGTCCCTCGTAAACCGGAAGTTATTTGAAGCCTGGCTTAACCATAGATTGGCGTCGTGTTGAGCTTATCCGAACACGTAACCTGGCACGTAGTCCTAGAGGCTATTCGCTTCAACGCCCAGTCCAGCAATTGCGGAACCTCTATCAACTGTATACCTTGACATTCCCTCGGGGCCTATTACGATTCGGAGTCGCACTCCAAGACAGCTTGTGTGCGTTACACCCTGCGCCATTTCGAAGCCTGATGGGCAAGGCATTGGCTTAGTGTGTCCGAAAGAAGGCGCTGCACGGAAGCAAAAACTGTGGTTCGAGTCCACCCTGGGTCGTGTGATGCCAGTATCAACAACCAACACTTGCAAGAACGATTCTTGGGGGGGTGTTGTCCTGCATTGACAGTCACATGCTGCAGCTTTAGCTAGTTTCATTCGGGCACGTTTCTCTGAGAGCTGAAACCTTGTCCCAACACCCCAAGCCCTCCATCACTCCATGCCAAAACTGGGCCAAAACCCGACAGCCTCAAACCCGGAACTCCTGAACCCCAAGTAATCTATAGGGGCCTTATAATCATTACTTATACTATTTTGCGGGCTCCTTATTATACGTGTAGTAGATAGGCCCCCAAACCCTGTTCCAATTGCTATGGGCCCTGCAATACCTAAACTTGAAGGTTAACGAGCCAGCTGATGTTGCATTGGCATCCGGCGGTCGGTGCTGCCACTTGCCACCAGCACCCTACACTCTCCAGGGCTATTGCCTTATCAAGTCTTTTCGGTGATTTTTCCTGACACTGCATTAATGGGAGCTCCCCTAGTTGGTTTCATGCTTCTCTTCAAGGGGTCAGGGCCCAGTGAGAGTTTACAGATGTGCCGCACTACCGCACCAGGTGCTTGTTGCGTTTGATTATGCCACCCTGCCATCGATATGTCTAGTTATAGTAATAAGAATAATAACAATAATAGTAGTAGTAGTAATAATAATAATAATAGTAAGTTATAAGCTGGTCTGTTGGACACATGACGAGGTATGCTACAGCTGCTTTGTTTGGGTTCTTGGCGAAAGCTACCTCATAGCAAACCTAGGCCTCAAGATGGTGTTTTCCCCCCAAAGCCGTGAATATGTTCTTGGCACCCGTGCTGACCGCACATGTTTCAGCATTGGCATTGCGATTAAGCGTATGAATATGAACGATCGTAAAACCAAAAACCAGACCAAGAGGGCGCTGGCAACAATAATAACTATTGATTGATGCTGGTTACGGAGACCCCAAAGCCCGAACACCAAAACCCGAACAAGCTGCCTCAGAACCAGTTTGATCTTGGCAGCTGCTTCTTCTGTGAGGGTAGCAGGAAGTATCTGGATCTTGCAGTGTATGTTCAGGGCTTCTTAGTTCGATTTCCTCATGCGCTCCTTCAACAGCTCCTCTCGTTTGGAATCCAGCCATCTACTCTTTGACACGATCAAGAGTTCAGGATGGCAGGTTTGAGAAGGTCAGGGCTTTCGAATTTCCGTGACCAGCTCTTTGAAGTTTCGAGGTCCTGCTAGGGTAAATGTGAAGTAAGTAAAGCGATAAGATTTTTTCGGCCGTCATCGTTGCCTGAAGGCTGTAAGCACTGAGCCTTGCCTCGAAAAGCCGCCATTTTGGGGCAAGATACCAGAGCTAGTGAGCTAGCGATCAGGGCTTATAGGTTGCGAAGTTCCAACCCCCAAGGGGCCTATGCCTCATGATACTGAGCTGGAGGTCGTCAGCTGGATCCTGTCTGTTGGCGTGGGCAACTGAGGGCAGTGTTGATGCATTCAAGGGTCTAAGGGCTTCGGAATTGTAGGGGGTCCTCAGCTTGAGAGGATACTTGAGGTCAAGATACTGCTGAGCATTTGAGTATGATGGGCTGCAGGGCTTCGGGCTTTGGACTTCTTGGGTTTAGGGTTTGGGGTTTTGCATAGACGAGGTGTAAGAAAGGGTTGCAGGCTTGGCACCTTGGGTCTGATTTGGTTGAGGCTTCGATGTGGAGCATCAGAATCGAACGCCACATCTTATATGCAAACTCAGCCTCAAATCGGAGCTGTCGGATCCGGTTCCGGCTTCAATGAATGTGTTGGGCTTTATACATAAGCAGAGGCTGCAACCGTTGACCGGAAAGCTGACCCCTTGGCACCGGAACGTTGTCTGATTGGACGTTGGCATGGCCTCGAGGGATCTAGCATTGTGTTCCTTTCCCTATATTGCAATGCAAGGAATGTGGGACCCATGCAAAGCCTAAGGTGCATCTAGAACATGCGCCCATTGAGCTTGCAAATCCGGGAGCTCATGGCATGCGCGTCCTTCGCCACACTGCAGTAGCTTGCTTCGCAAGCGCTGTTGCAGATGACTTCTGCAGCCAGAGTTTGGTACTCCCAGAGGCCCTAGACGTTTGGGCCTCGCGGCGAGAAGACAAAGGCCCTCAGTTGCTGAGCCTGGTCCTGGACGCCTACATCGAAGGATTTGGGCGGCGCGTGGGTGCAGGGGCGATAGGCTGGGCACATCTTTTTGAGCCCTTCCAGAGATGCCCTTTGCCTTTCATCGCGGCGGAAGTGGCCCATGGCCTCCAACAGCAAGGCTTCGCTCGCCAGGTACGCCTGGCCCGGGCCAGGGAGCTGGCAACTTCCTGGCGCCTCTGGAGCGACTGGAACGAGGAAGAAAGTCTTTTGAGTGAGGAGCTTCAGAGCAGGAAGCTCGAGAGCTGCTCCCTCCTGAAAAGCTGGCCTCACCTGGATTTCTTGGCAAATGCTTCCACCAGCTTTTCATCCTTGTTGGGCTGCTTGCAGCCCCAAGGCCAGGATGTTCCACAGCGACCTCTCCTTTCATCCGTTGGCCACTCCTTCCCAGACTTTTGGAGAATGCTGGCAGATGAGTTGTTCATGACACCGACGCTCCAAATGCCTTGGGGCAATGGAGGAGCTCCCTACGTCCTGGCCAAGGTGCTGTGGCAGCTACGGCATGAAGATCAGCGAATTCGAGGGCGGCCCATGTATTTGGAATTCGGAGTCTTCGAGGGCGCCAGCATCAACTTCATAGCTCGCAAATTGCGCAGCATGGATCCAGGTGCATTGGTCTTCGGCTTCGACTCTTTCCGTGGCCTCCCAGAGGCTTGGCGAAGTAACTCGGATGTCCCTGGTGGTTTGACCTTTGCAAGTGGCAGTTTTGCTTTGGAGAAGGAACCGGAAGTTGAAGGCAACGTGAGGCTGGTGCGTGGCTGGTTCAACGAGACGCTGCCCGCTTTTCTGGCGGGCTTGGCCGCGGGCAGCGGCAACGGGGACCCCTGGGTGCGGCTGCTGCATGTAGACTGCGATCTCTACAGCTCAGCATTGGAGGTTCTTCGCGCACTTGCTCCTTTTTTTCGACCGCGAAGCATCCTAATTTTTGACGAGCTGGTGAATTTCCCGCATTTCGAGAGTCAGGAACTACGAGCGCTGTACGACTTCTTCCAGGACAAGCCGTGGAAGTTTCGGGTGGTTGCTGCACCCTGGTTCTTCTTGAGGTCGACGTCCGATCTTGCTGACTTGTTCCGCAAGGAAGGGCTGTCTGAGGTAAATCTCCACCAGGCAGTAGCAATTGAGCTGTCCAGCTGAGATTTCGCAAAAGGATGCTTGGACAGGATCCGAAGGTGCCCTCAAACACTGCCTTGTGGATGTATTATAAACAATGGAACCCGGTGACGTCATGTGAAGTCCACATAGAGCATTATGAAGCGATACTATGCCATACTCTGGAATGCTCTAGTACTCTTGGCTCTTATGAATTCATAGACACCTTTCAATACACACAGCATGATTCGACCAAAGCCTTACTCTGCAACAGTTCCTAAACAATTCCTAAACGGTCCTAGACGATCTTGCGGTGCGACTTGGTCAAGTGGGGCGGGTGGGAAAGCCATCCAATACCCACGTCTGAATCATCAGTCATCGTCTCCCCTGCATGGAACTTGACAGATTGACGGTACGACACATAACCATGCCCGAAAACCCTGTCCTGACATGTTTGGCCCTATACTGGAAAAAGCCGCGAGGCCATCACCTTTCCGACCCTGGCGCTCATGCGCCGGCGCGCGCCAAGGAACGAGAAGGAAGCGGAAGCCAAGGCTGAAACCCGGGGCCCTCAATTTTCGAATGCAGTGTCCTTCCACATGTGGCTTCAGGGATGCTTGCATGGCTACTATGGTGCTAAGATGATGTTTCAGTTTTGCGGATTGGGTTTATGTTTTCTGTTTGTCGGGATGGGGGTTTAGTGGTTCAAAGATGGGGCTTCACGGCTATCCGGTTTTGGGGATGGCTGGTTTAGGGTGGAAGGTAGCCCAGGTTTGCTGCTGGACACTGCGATCATATAGTCACAAAGTGGAGTGTACCGTTTATATATGTATATACAATATACACACACACACACATATATATATATATATCTGTGTGTGTGTTTTATGTTTGTATGTCTCGCTACCTCTTTCAGGACACCACTATCAGATCAGTGCGTGCTATCGCCGAATGTATAAAGGATTTGTCGTGCAGACCGCGAACCTGGCCGTAGAGAAACACGGCATTTCTGCTTAGGGATTATAGGACATCTCCACAAACTTAGGTGGTGGGTGTGTTAGATTTAAGCAGCACGTTAGTCAGCGCGTATTGCGCTCCAAGTCGAAGCACGCGAGAGGGCCAAGCTGCCTGAACTCTAAGGCCTGGGCCACCGAAACCTTACACCAAAGCCCTGAACCAGAACTGCAACTATAAGG